AAAACGGCGCAATGTTCTCGGAGTGCATTTTCGAGCCGGGACGCGCATGCGGCGAAGTACCCCACGACAATTGCGTATTAGTTTCCTTTGTAACGGAAAATACAATTTATAAAATACAAACACACAGTTTCAGAGACATAGATGATATCGCAATTATTGATTGGCTGTCTTTGCTATGTTTGATTATTGAGACGACTAGATGAGAAGTATCTTTTTTTGACAACGCACAACACTTCCGTCAGGAAGTCATTTGAGCCTTTATCTGTATCCATAATTTTTTGGTGCTATTTTATGTTGCAAAATCTTGAAATTCACATACTTGAATGGTTTTGCAAATATCCGCAAACGGGATGAGTGCTTGTTCGCAAAAGCTTCTTCTGCCATGTCACCGTAGTCCAGAGTAAAGCGCCTAAGTAGGATTATTTGAGCAAGTTAAATTTTGACCGGTAGAGTAAATTTAGAACCTCTCATCATTCTCGATTATCTTTTCTTTCTTATTACCACCTTCAATAGTGTACAGCTGTGGTTGACCTTCATCAGTAACCTGGAATTCACAGACTAAAGTTGTACATTAATAATATATAATAGCTTATAATAGCAGTACCGCTATATTATAGTGAACATCCAAACATATAGGCCTTATCGCATTACTTCTATTTACGTTGTTGTTGGTGACCTTCCTGAAGAGAATAATTATGGTGTTGTGCGCAAAAATCAGAAGCAGTCTTACTCATAACGTACTTTTTGCAGAGATACTGAGAACAGCGCACAATTTTCATCATACAATGAGCATTGAGAACACCAATGCCAATTGTCAGTATAAGGCCTGTCTGAAAAAAAGGGATAAATTTGCATGAAAGTGCAAAAAGAAAGATTTCATCGATAACATTTGCTGATCAATATAGCGTAAAGTTGACCTGAAACTCACCCAAAATCCAGCTTGCTGAAAAGCTACTGGCATAGCAAAAACGCCAACTCCAACAGTTGCCTTAACTAGGTTAATGAATGCATATGAGCTCCTAAATTCAAAATTATGTACTATAAGCCATAATCACTATAGCTTCACTCGAACATACCTAATCATCCTTAGGATTTTTAAGAAATCGGTGGCAGACCCCTGAAATCAAACAGGCGAATGCCTACTTTACAAGAAACTTGTGCGAACGCTAATGTAGGAAGTCGAGCGTTAATCAACATTTTATCTTAGCAGCATTATAAGTGTATAAAAAGCATCATATGACTTACGACATAAAATGCTGGAGAATTGCAAAGACTCTTCTACC